TTAGCTTTGACTGAACCATACAGTAAATATGCTAAAACAAAACAAAACAATGAGCTTAAGGAGAGGAGGTATTCAAGTTAAAATGTCAAGTTACAGTGCTGCTGTTGAGCTGTGCTTTGTGAAATGACATGGTATTTATCCTTGTTTTAGATTGTGCTCTTTAAGTGTAAGATGAATCAAAATGAAAGACATTTCGACAAATGAGGCCCGTTCTCATTACTGTGTTACTGACTGATGAAGTGGCGCACAGCCAAATGGGCCATGACACAATGATCTCATCTGTCTTTCATACTCTACCTCAACCGTAATGTGCAGAGGATCCACAATCTGCCAGATCATGAGTGACAGGAAGTCATAGCCAGCAGCACTCCAACTGTTGCGTAGAGTTTCCCTGGCTCCAAGTGTTGCTGTGTGAGTTTGAGCAAAGACACACACACACACACACACGCACACACACACACACGCACACACACACACACAGTCATCACTATCCAGGGCATCACAAGCTACTCCACAAACAAAGACAAACAACCAGGACAAATAATATGACAGGCGTCCTTGTGATTTCGGATGACTGGCCGCGAATAGTGTGAGTGTGTGTCTCTCTCAGTGTGTGTGTGTCCAAGTATATTTTAGGAGCAGTAGGAGTTTGCGTGTGTGTGTGTCTGCACACAGAGAGTTGTAGTAGCTATATTTGTGCTGCCACCTGAAATCATCATTTATACACACTGAGTGACACCGATTTTGTGTGGACAGTTTCTGAGGCGACTGATATCACTTTTATTATCCTTAATTAGTTATAATGGAAGCAATGCAGCCGTAACCGAAAACAAGCAACCAAAATGAGCTCTCCTACTGGGCTCCCCTTCTCTCTTTCCACACATCTTTTTTTATTTCATTTGACCACTCTGGATTATAACTAGCACCTCCAACTAGTAACAGCCATTCAAGCGTGCAATGACTAAAACTGAAAAATAAATAAAAGAAAACACATTACACAGTCCTGGGTTCCTCTTCACTTGAGTTGCATGAAAAATGATCTGAAACAGCGTCATTCTTCCCTCGATTTATGAAGTTCGTTAAATACTCACAGAGCTCTCTGGCAAAATGCCCTTCTGTGGACATGAAGAGAGTTGAAAGTCAACCCGATTCGTTGTGCTTTGGCTCAAATAATAAGACCCCTAAAGGATGGATTTCTGCATAGAACTTTAATACTCATCCATATTCATAAATATTCCATAAATGGCTTAATCTCTTATTCTACTGATTAGGTCTTAGAAATTCCCACAACACGCAAACTGGCAGTATCTTGCTGGCTCCAGGATACACTATCTTCAAGGGGTGGAACACACACAAATCACACACGCACACATCCACTCTTAAACACACCAGCATGCAAATAAAGCTGATGACGGAGGTATCAGGGGTGGTTATGTGTGTTTGTGTGCTCAAAATATGCACCTGCATGTTTCTATGCATAAATGTTGCATGTGTGTGCAAAGTACAGTATCTATGCCAGTGTGTGTCCAACACCATGCACTCTTGCTACAACCCTCCTGCAGTGAATGATGCCGAGCTGGCCTCTTAGAAGCTTATTTTACTAGGAAGTTTTTAACGGAACTTTTTTATCAGCCGGCGCCACACATGCTGCGCGGCCCAGCCTCCCTCTCCCATCCTTTCTCTACTCTCCTGAGACCGCTGAGAGGCTTATCCCTCCCCCTGACTCTGCTACCTTCTTCTTCTTCTCTCTTTTTCTTCTCCTTCTTCGTGAAGAGAGTGTGGACCCACCAGATCTTCGTGAACATGCTGCCGTACGCCAGGCTGAAGCCAAGGCCAAGGAGCCACAGGCGGAACTGCAGGAGAGGGAGAGAAAGAAAAAGAGAGAGAGGAGGGGATAAGGTGTGAAGGAGAGGAGAATTTTAATTAAAAATAACTTTACTCAATGTGTGGGTTTTGTTTCATAGGTGTTTTGTTATGTGTAAATATAAATGTATATCATCTATCAACCTAATTTCTCAGTACATAAAAAATTAATTTAACTTGTATTGTATTACAGTACACTACAGTAGATTTACTGCCTTTCTTTAATTTGTGTTCTTTTTAGAAGAGAATATTTACTGTAAATAAAAATGAAGATTACATTAATTTTTTGAACCTCCACCAACATGCTAGGGCAGCCTGTAAGTAGCCTTAGAGGTGAAACCTGATGCAAAAAACTGTCCAAAATTCATTGCTGCACCACTCGTTGCAGCTCCTAAAGCTTATTGCTCTGAGCGCACAGTAATAACTGCAAGTGACTGAGATGAAAATACCAACATTTTTATCAACTCCTCTCTTTTCTCATCTGGTCTGTGGTGGCTAGACACTAAGAGTTTAAGGAGATTTCAGTAAGAAAATCAATTTGAAACTGTAAAAGTGAGGGGGACAGAAATAGATTTTGAATAAAGTTTCCCCAAGTGGAAATGAAGCCCTTGCCATTATTACAGTTTTTCTCACTCGCTTTGGTGCATTTCTCACATCAAATTGAAATACTCATAACTACTTGTTCAACCTTCACATCATCTCGTTACTTGTGCACATCATAAAGCAATTTCATTGTTTTGAACATATTGCAAATGCTTTAACACAGTGAAGCAAATGTACAATTGTCTGCTATTTCCTCCATTATCAATTGGTTATGTCATGCTGATCACAATGAATTATACCAGTTCTTTGTGGAATAGTCTTACCCCCCAAAACATCTAGGCACAAGTTCATTGCATAAGTCACTTTATGCAAAATGGCTGAACACGTTGTCAAAATCAAAGTTAAATAAAGTCAAACTTTATTGTCATTCTTCACATTCAAGTATACAGCTGAACGAAATGTTGTTTCGTATAGACCATGGTGCATAAACAAAGTAAGAATAGACAACAACAAATCACAATATACTACAGTAGCAACACAGCCCTCAGACCATTCACCCGATACACACAATACCATACACAGTGAACAGTAACACAATACACAGTGAGCAGTGAATAGTGCATATACCGCAGTAGATGTATACTTATATTTGCTTGTGTGTGTGCGCATGTGTGTATATACAGTATATATATATATATATAGAGAGAGAGAGAGGGAGATTTACAGTGCTGTAAAACAGTCCTTTCTTTTCCTTTTCTGCATCACAATGACATGGTCTGTCAACAAATTATAGTACAAACAGTAAAAACGTAACTGAATCCTGTCCAATCTCTTGCCATGTTTAACTTTATACTATAGAAATTGATATGACATATTGAAAAAGTGCAGCCTTGTGCATTTTCAGTCTTTGTCATCAAAATGTTAGCCATAGTTTACATCAGAAAACACAGAGTGCAGAGTGTTATATGAAAACTGTAGTAGTAACCCTACTAAAAATTGAGTTTAGTTTCCCTATAGAATAGTTATTATGTTGTATTTGCATTTTTACCAGGAGGAGCCCTGTGATTTACTGCCTTTCTTTAACTTGTATTTTATTGAAACACTTTTTAGAAGAGAATATTTACTGTAAATAAAAATGAAGATTACATGGATTATTTGAACCTCCACCAACAAGCTAGGGCAGCCTGTAAGTAGCCTTAGAGGTGAAACCTGATGCAAAAAACAGTCCACAAATCATTCGCTGCACCACTCGTTGCAGCTCCTTAAACTTATTGATCTGAGTGCACAGTAATAACTGAAGGTGACTGAGATGAAAATGTCAACATTTTTATCAACTCCTCTCTTTTCTCATCTGGTCTGTGGTGGCTAGACACTAAGAGTTTAAGGAGATTTCAGTAAGAAAATCAATTTGAAACTGTAAAAGTGAGGGGGACAGAAATAGACTTTGAAAAAAAGTTTTCCCAAGAGCAAATTAAGCTCTTGCCATTATAAACTACAACAAATTCAGAAAAAAACATATGCTAATTTCTTCCATTCACCCAGATAATTACCGACAGATAGAAAGACAGACAGACGAATAGAAAGACAGACAGATAGAAAGATAGACAGACAAATAGAAAGACAGACAGATAGAAAGATAGACAGACGAATAGAAAGACAGACAGATAGAAAGATAGACAGACGAATAGAAAGCCAGCCAGATAGACAGACAGACAGATAGATAGATAGATAGATAGATAGATAGATAGATAGATAGATAGATAGATAGATAGATATAATAGATAGATAGATAGATAGATAGATAGATAGACTGAACAAAATTGAAGGCAACACTTTTGTTTTTGCCTCCATTCATCATGAGCTGAACTCAAAGATCTTTCTCAGGCTTTCTCTGTGTACACAAAAGGCCTATTTCTCTCAAATACTGTCCACAAATCTGTCCACCATTTGCCTCACGTAGTGCAACACATCTCCTTCGCATTGAGTTGTATAGGTTGTTGATTGTGGCCTGAGGAATGTTGGTGCACTCCTCTTCAACGGCTGTGCGAAGTTGCAGTCAGGTCGAGACCCCGATGAGACGACAGCTGCACACGAGCTACCCTGAGATGGTTCCCGACAGTTTGTGCAGAAATTCTTTGGTTATGCAAAGTGATTGTTGCAGCAGCTGTCCGGGTGGCTGGCTGGATCTTGGAGGTGAAGATGCTGGATGTGGAGGTCCTGGGCTGGTGTGGTTGTGAGGCCGGTTGGATGTACTGCCAAATCTCTGAAACTCCTTTGGAGACGGCTTATAGTAGAGAAATGAACCTTCAATTCATGGCCAACAGTTCTGGTGGACATTCCTGCAGTCAGCATGCCAATTGCACGCTCCCTCAAAACTTGCAACCTATGTGGCATTGTGCTGTGTGATGGAACTGCACATTTTCGAGAGGCCTTTTATTGTGGCCAGCCTAAGGCACACCTGTGCAATACCCATGCTGTCTGATCAGCATCTTGATATGAAACACCTGTGAGGTGGATGGATTATCTCAACAAAGAAGAAGTGCTCACTAACACAGATTTTGACAGATTTGTGAAAATTACTTTAGAGAAATAGGCCTTTTGTGTACATACAGAAAGTCTTCGATATTTGAGTTTTGCTCATGATGAATGGGGGCAAAAACAAAAATGTTGTGCATTTATATTTTTTTTCAGTGTAGATATATAGATGGCAGAGAATAACTGGACAGGGACAAACAGCAAAGAAGCGACAGAAATGGAAATCTCCCTCTTGCCTCCACACCAAAAAACCTCAATATGGGTGACAGAAAAGTACTCCCACTCATTAGTGCTGGGATCCCATCATCTGTGCTATTCTAGCACCCAGCAAATCATGTCTGTACAACAGAATACCAAAATACTTTAAAATAGCTATTGAAGAATGTCAGATTTTTTTTCATGTTTATGTTCTTCGTCTTTCATCCACTAAGTGTACGTGATAAAAATCCTGAAATGGCTGATTGGTTTGCAGGTGTCTGCTTGCCACAGGCAGAAACATCAAAACTGTCAGAGCTTCACAACACCTGAATGTAGTTTTGCCTAAAGTAGGTACATAATTTCTCAGTAGGGTAGCGCTTTAGTAAAACTGACTACAGTAACTGCAAACTGCAATATTTGTGGCAAAGAACTAACTGCAACACTGTAAATCAAATACAATGAGTTAATGAGAACAACATATATAGTAAACTTGAACCTGTAATTGACCTGTAGGTGGATCAGTAATAACATATTCATGCTGTGCAGCTAAACATTGTTTAAAACCCACAGATCTTTATTTTAGAGACTAGTTGAGGTCCAGAATTTTCCAAAGACAGCAAATATATTGTGAGGAATTTTTTGGGAAATGTGTATAATATGATGCACAAGATATCAAGAATAATTACAGCCATAAATAACATGGGGTTTATATGTATTTCACTCCGTACACATCACATAGATTAAATTAAAAACTAGAACAAGATGAAACGCATTATGTACAGAATGTGACACTGTGGAATAAGATAATATGCCCAACCTTTAAGATAATTACAACAAAAAGAAGAGGAATAATGTCCAACTAAAATTAAACTGCAACAGACCGAAAGATAGAAAGATATATTTTATATTTTTTGGTTTTATGATGGCACCCCCAAGTTTTCCATCCATACAGCCAATCACACCACTTCATTTTAAGCCATATTTGCATAAAGCAGTAACGTCAGTAGTATATCATGAGCAGAGCAGGTGGTCACACTGACTAACAGCCAGACAGCAGCCTGCTACACAACAAAAGAGCCAAAGACAACAACCCACATTAGCTTAGTTTTCAGGCTAGTTAGCTGCTCAGCTACAGCACATTAAACAGCTTTCTTACAAATGTCACTGTGGTCCGCTTAGATGCTTTTGTCACCCTCACTCCAACGCACTATGGCTTATAAGCTACACCGCAACAGACTGTGTAGCCTTTTAATAATAAAATACTATTAACAATAAATACAAAGGCAAGAGGTGATGACTGGGTTAAATGTTTGTAACTGGCTTTCAGTGTAATAGTTTTCATCAAACCAAGGTCTGAAATTATTATTTTCTTTCTAACTACAACTTTTAAGGTAAAGAAAAAGAACAATGAATACACTTTAAAAAAAATTTGAATTTAATTATTCTATACATAAAACTGAGGTAGCTAATGTTGAGAAATTATGAATAATGATGGGAAACCAGCAAGAAACAATTAGATTTTGAAAGTGTCCAACTGGAAAAATCTCACCCCCTAACTACACGCCTCCCTCAAATCACATTTTCATGGGGAAAGAGTGCACAGGAAGAGTGCGTGCAGGTAGATAGCGGGCTAGGCAATAATTTCATCCGAATGAAATGATTGGCAATGCTTATTATAGTCCTGCAAAAGCTATACATACTAGATTTTTTCATTTTCGGTGCCAGGCCATTTCATTTATTGATTGCTGTCGGGATGTAAAGAAAATTCAACAAATAACAAAAAATGCTTCTGCCCACCCCAGCTTTAATAAGATTCATTTCAACACATATTGCAAATAATATAATAAATAATACTCACATCAAATCACTGAAACCAAATATTTGCAGACAGTACCCAACCCTACTCCTCATCCTGCCCTCTGGCTCTTCTCTGTCTCTCTCCCTGTGTGTGTCTCTTTCTCCTGTTACCTGGCAGACGACAGGGAACTGGGATCTGTGGACGTGGTGACCATCAATCCCCAGCGGGAACACTGCAGCCAGAGCCATCATGCAGCCCACCGCTGTCATGTTGTTCAGGTACGGCTGAGAGTTCTGGATGTAGCTGAAACAGTGACAGATACACATATAAAAACAAAAAACAAACACATTTAGAAAAACACTGGCAATTATCTGTTATTATTTATGTATGCTTAAAGGTATAATTGGTGTATTTGTAGGTAAATAGGCGTTAAATGTGGCGGTGGTCTTGCTGTTAGCTCTTACAAATGTCATCAATTGTTGTTAATTGCTCTCCTGTTGGTTTTTAATTTAAACCTTATCATCTTTATCTCCTGGTTGAGAATGTCTGGCAGTGTTTCGTCACACTGATAAATAAAAGGCTCAAAATATGGAACACTGCTCTTCCTTGGGGATCTCCTTTGATGAGTGATTGACATTCATTAGTCTAATTAGTGTGAAGCGCTGAACAGTGCAAAAATTTCAAGTGACAAAAAAGAAAGGAAATTTGTGTGTAGTGTAAATTTCAGCAGAACTGAATACAAAACAACTGGAGTACAATTAAGTGCAGGTGAAACCATTGCTCAGTTCTGTGAAGTCAAACAGCAGGTGAGTTCTAATTAATTGGGAATACCAAAAAGTGCATAAAAACAATGTGCTGATTTCTTTGGACTGATCATGCAGTCAAAGGTTTTAGCAGTATTTACTAATTTCGGGATAACAAATCTAAGAGTCTACAGCCATACATAGGCACACCGTTGCTTTAAGCTAAATGCTTAAAAAAAACAAAAAAACAAAAAAACAACAACAACAACCAAGAATTAAATCTTAAGGAAGACAAGGAGAAGAAGTTTAATGTATGTAATGTGATGTGGCATGTATTCTATATTTTCCTAGTGCTATAAAACAATAAAGTATGTTGATTCTTTTGGATACTACTTAAACAGTCTGACAATTAGTATCTATTATGTACTGATTGAATGCTTTACTTATAGAATTAGTATGTAGCATGGATTTGGAGCACACAGCGCTAATGTTTACCATGTTCACTCACGACCAGTGTTGTGAAAAATTAATTTAATTTATTGAACACTGCTCAAACATTAGTTAAAAAGTTAGGAGAGACTTTCTTTGTTTTTTCCCCTTTACTGTTTAGCATCATCTGGTTTGAGAGGCTGCAATGTTTTCAGTTTGGCTGATGAAAAGGTTGTCCATCACTTTTTAGAAAAGGATGGGGCTGGGTAACTCATTACTTTTAATGACTAATCATTCATGCAGCACACCTGGACACACCACCGGTCACTGAACATAATATCTGCCTCACTGCCACAAACAACTGTCTCCACCTGCTGGCATGTAAAGCCGTCTGCTCCCAGCGCTGTTCCACAGACTTCTATTCCTGTCATCATCACGCATAGACCAGTAAATCGAAATGTGCACAACCCACACAGAAATAATAGTAATCTCTTAAGGATTAGGACAACTGCACCAACTCCAGCACCCAGAATAAACTCATTTAAAATGGCTCTCTTCAATGTGAGATCACTTTCAAGTAAGACTTTTATCTTAAATGATTTTATCTTGTCTGCAAATCTAGATTTTATGTTTTTAACTGAATCCTGGTTACAAATGAATGACTATAGCCAGCTAGCTGAACTGTGTCCGCCTCAATATGATTGTTTTAGTCAACCGAGGGTCAGCGTGTATAGGAAAAATTTTAAATGTCATCAAGTACGCTGTGATGAATTGAACTCCTTTGAAGTTCTCACTCTTAAAGTTGGAGGGCTGCAACCTGTCATAGTTGTTATAATTTATCGCCCCCTCAAAACCGCCTGGAGGATTTTTATCAGAACTTCCTGAATTTTTATCTACTCTGGTTTTAAATTATGACAGAATTGTTCTTTGTGGCGATTTTAATATTCATGTTGATGACCCCACCAATGTTAATGCAACTGACTTTTTAAATATGGCCACTTCTTTTAACTTCAAACAACATGTCAAAGGGCAAACACATAACCGTGGTCATACACTGGACTTGGTTTTTACCCTGGGTGTCAGCATTTCCTCGGTGGAATTAGTGGACATGACCATATCTGACCACAGATGTATTGTTTTTAGCTGCGATTCCCCTATTACTCATGCCGCCTCACCAAGCTCCAACCAAGTGTTTCAAAGTTTTGCACATTCTTTCAGAGCCAAAGCCAGCACCTGTCTGATTCCAACACCAACAATCTGGTCGATCACTTCAATCATATCTGCTTGTCGTCACTAAATATTACTGCTCCTCTAAAGGTTAGGCCTACGTCTAAAGCTAGTAAGCAACCCTGGATAAATGACAGCATTTGCAGCCTAAAAAGGGAATGCAGGAAAGCAGAGCGCAGATGGAAAAAATCCAGTCTCCAAGTCCATTACCACAGTCTGAAGGATTTATTAATTAACTACAATAACATGGTTAAGGATGCGAGAACACACTATTTTTCTGAACTCATTACTACACATAAACACAATCCCAGGTTTCTGTTTAAGACTGTGGATCAGCTGGTAAACCCAACCCCTCCTTGTGCCTCAGCTGGAAGTAATCATGACTGTGAATTGTTTTTATCTTATTTTACCAATAAGGGGGTGTCAATCAAAGCCTCTATTACCCCCATGGCCTCTTACTCAGAGGTTCCTCACCAGCAACAAGAGAGTTTTAACCAGTTTTATCCCATCGACTTGTCTGAGCTTTTAAAAACAGTACCACAAATGAGAGTGTCCTCCAGCCCACTTGATGTAATATCTACAAAGTTTTTACTGAAAGTAATGGATTCTGTTGGGCCCCATTTGATCTCTGTTTTTAACAGCTCCCTATCTACTGGTTGTGTCCCTGAGTATTTTAAAGCGGCTTACGTGAAACCACTTTTAAAGAAACCTGGTTTAGATCCCTCCCTTCATCAAAATTATAGACCAATTTCAAAACTGCCTTTTATTGCAAAGATTCTAGAAAGAATTGTGTCCAAAAAGCTGCTCACTGTACTGGAAAATAACAAAATATTTGAAAAGTTGGTTTTACTGGTTTTAGGAAGTACCACAGCACCGAGACTGCCCTGCTTAAAGTCACCAATGACCTTTTAATGTCTGCTGATGAAGGTATGTGCTCAGTCCTGGTACTCCTGGACCTTAGCGCTGCTTTTGACACCATTGATCACAACATCATGTTAGACAGACTGAGGCACTGGGTGGGGATCTCTGGTACTGCCCAAGAATGGTTTTCATCCTACCTGTGAAATAGGAAGTTTTGCGTGTCTGTAAACAACTATGTCTCTTTGTTCTGTCCAGTTAAATATGGTGTGCCTCAGGGGTCGGTCTTAGGACCCATTTTGTTTTCCTTGTATCTGCTTCCCCTTGGACATATTATCCATAAACATGGCATTTCTTTTCATATTTATGCTGATGACACACAAATATACTTGCCCGTCAGATCCTCAGACCCTGGAATGCTGAGTTCACTTAACAACTGCCTTTGTGAAGTTAAAAAATGGATGTCAAATAATTTCCTCCAGCTGAACTCAGACAAAACAGAAATCCTGGTCATCGGGTCCCAGCAGATGGCAAAACAAATACTGCCATCTGCTGGTTCCCTAGTAAATCACATTAAGCCTGTGGCAAAGAACTTTGGTGTCTGGTTTGATAGTAATTTAAATTTCGAGCACACACCACAAAGCTTGTTCAATCATGTTTTTATCAACTTAGAAATATAGCAAAAATTCAATCTATGTTAAAATTTTAAGGACACACAGACCATTTTACACGCCTTCATCTCATCACGCCTGGATTATTGCAACAGCCTTTTCACTTGTTTAACGCAAAAATCTACTGATCGACTCCAGACTGTCCAGAACTCAGCTGCCAGGCTTTTAACCAGAACAAAGAAACATGACCACATCACCCCTATTTTAGCTTCATTACACTGGCTCCCAGTATGTTTTAGAATTGACTTTAAAATTTTATTGATCACTTTTAAAGCTCTTCATGGCCTCTCACCTTGTTATATTTCTGACCTTTTAGTCCCATACGCACCAGCACGTACCTTGAGATCTTCAGGCAGAGGTCTGCTGTCTGTTCCAGAGTCTCGACTGAAAACTAAAGGGGACAGAGCATTTGCTGTCAGGGCCCCGAGGCTCTGGAACAGCCTGCCCGAGGAAATCAGGTCGGCTGAGTCAGTGAACTCTTTTAAGTCCCTTCTTAAAACACACTTTTATAGGAGAGCCTTTCCCGAACTTATTTGACTTCATTTTATCCCTTTTATTTTATTCTATTTTACTTATTTTATATTTATCTTAAATGTGTATTTTAGTCTTTTCAATGTTTTCTTGCTTTTATCTTGTATTGTTTCTGTATTATTGTTTTTGGGTATTATTGTCTTTACACTTCTTAAAGCACTTTGTAACTTGTTTTTGAAAAGTGCTCTACAAATAAAGATCATTATTATTATTATTATTATTATTATTATTATTATTAATCCCTAGTAATAAGTAAAAGTTATAAAAGCTTTAATATTATTTTATTAAGAAGTAATCAGTAAAAAGTAAGTTATTACAATTTCTCAGTAACTTGCCCACCACTGCTCATGAGCATCATAGTTTAGGGTTTAAGCATGCTAACATTTGCTAAATAGCATTAAAAACAAAGTTGAAGGGAATATTATCAATAATACATAAATTTCTTTTGCAGGTTTTTTGTCATAATCCAAAATACAGGTAAAACATGAGTTGATGATGATACTTGATGAAAAATTAAGGCCATACCAAAGTTATTACAACTCATCCTAACAGGAACATATTGGTAGCAAATTTCATGTTGCAATGAATCCAATAATTGTTGAGATATTTCATTCTCACATTGCTCTGCTGCCTACATATTTGACATCAGATGGAAGTTTTGATTGATCTTGTCATTAAACTAAAGCACAGCTGTGGTAATCACAGTGCTGTATGTGGAAGTAAAGACATTAGCTTAAAGGATATTAAAGCAAAAAGTACTTACTATAATAAGAAAAAATAAGTACAGAGATTTCTATCCAGTTAAGACAATGTGTTTGTATAAATGCTACGTTAGAGACAATCTCAGTAATATTCTCAAAAACTCGAGATTTAAGACTTTAACATAATCTGCACTGAACCATGACAGCCACCCACAAAGCTTTCCTCTGCTCTCCAGCTCACGGTCTTCCTGCAGCAGTAGGTGTGTCTTTTATTCTTTCATCCAGTTGACCTGACCTTGTGTTGCCCTGAGGCCACATTGCCTATTTACTGTACAACCACACAATCATGCAGAATGCAAACACACATTAACATATACACACACTCACACATGCACACTGGCCCCAATCCAACCTTAGATACCTCTGAAAAACCTTTAATGCTGTTACATACATAGACTGTATATAAGAAGGTCACATACCATGAATATGATGTGAGGTGAGGTGAAGTGCTGCTTTCTTCCCTTATTATGCACCATGTCTTGTGATTGCTTTGAATTATGGTTGATTGAGGCTAATATTCAAAGAATAATTGGCATTTTTATCTCTTGTATGTGGATGTGAATTTCTGATTATGATTTCTCCCTAAATGGTTGTTGAATATTTTTTAAATAAAATGAGTTTTTGTGTGATTCTGAGGGACCAAAATCTGATGTGTGCTAGTACTGTTTTAGATCACCGGAAGATATACTGTGATGAAACTTTCCTGTAGCATCACTGGAGACATCAAAATGTCACCTCACTGACCAAAAATAACAATAGCTGATCCTTGAATCTGAAACAACAGATTGTTTCGGCCACCTTTTAAGTTGATTTGGCGAACTTGTTAGCGAAGAGTTGCTTATTTACACATCCAGCAGTTGCAGAACAACATTATTAACATTAAGTTGTGTTTCTGGCCACCTGGTGAATTTAAGTCACAGCACTCTCTTTTAGCTGTTGTTTGTCTCCAAAAACTCCTGAGGGAAATATCTGGCTCTTCAGCTGCTAAATGCTCCACTATGTTCACCAGCTAGTCAATAACTGTGTCTGTCTGCTGTTTGGTGCTTAGCAGGTCGGTTCCGATACCAAAATATTGTCCATTCCATGCATTTATATGCAGAGATCAGTTTATAGAGATTATTATCTACTGAACAAGACTAAACACATTGTCTGTATCTTTCATACATTAGTGGATATGTGTAAACTTTTCCTATTGGTTCAGTTTCTATTGTTCCAGCAAAACTTCCCATTTTTCCTGTATTGTTAACTAAATATCGCATATGAGGTAGTGTACTTCCAATTTTGCATTATATAGTCAGTGCCTTTGTGTCCGAGAAGTGACTTGATGGATTCCAGAGCAAATCTTTGACCGTGGTAAACTGGTCCTTTAAAGGTGGAGAAAGCAATTCTAATCCAAAATACAATTTTTGTGTTAAATTAAACGAATATCTCCTCAGGGTCCACAAGCTGTCTATTCTGTGTGTGTGTTGAAAAAAAAGTTTGTCCACAGCCCTGGCTATATATATGGGAAACAAAGTGGCTCACAACGAGTCACACAACACTATTCCAGCCGTTACAGCCATGATTTGTGTTTCAGGTAATGTTAAATGACTTGCCCACGGACATTCAGCTTACTTTCTAGTTTACCAAGACATGCTGTTGTTGTGATGTTAGCTATAACAGCAGGGGAGCTGTGAATATTGCTGTTTGGAGCTGTTGTGCTGGCTCTGGGACCCTCTCGTCATCTCTGCCTGTTGGCTTAATGTTAGCTTCACAGCAGCAAATGTAACAACAATATACTTACCCACAACTTATCTAATGTTAATTACATTAGTTGCTGTGTTGTTATTCGTTCTATATCATAGTATATGTCATAGTGTTGGATTTCTCCAGAATCGCTTACTGCACCTTTAATGGTTGGGTTTCGTTGTTCATCCTCCGTGAGTCCTACAGACTCTGTCTCTTTACCCAGATGTCTTATAAAAACAAAGGTCAGGGATATTCCACTCAGTTCTCCGTGGAGGGAGGAAATTCCTTGTGTCACAGTGTCTCAGTTTCCAAAGGATTGCTCCTTTGAGACTGATTGCGTTTGACTTTTTCTTGTTTTAAAAGTGGATCTGTTATGTATTTTTGTCTACTAACAAGGCAGTTGGTGGCAAACTTGTTTTGTAAAAACAGCTTACTGAATAAATTTGATTTGATCTGACTCACAGTGTTTTGGCTGCTAAGAGCAGCCTTCGGTAAAACTGTGTTTGAAATATAATCAAAGCTAGAGGAGGGACTGACTGGCACACTGGAGTCAGCCAGAGATCCCCAAAAGAACAAACCTTTCCAGCTTTCTGAAAAACTCCTGATAAGCTCATGGACTTATGGGACTTTAAATCACTTTGACCCAGGTCAAACATAAAAATACTATGTTAAAAAGACATCAGAGATATGCTGCGCCGGGTTCACAGACATGCATTAAGCTTAGAAATCCAAGATCAAAAGGCATTTTTTAAAGGAAGTCTATTTGCATTTGGTCTAGAGCTGTGCTTAAGCTGTGACAATGAAACCTGCTGCTAGAGTGAGAAAAGCAACACCCCAATCACTAACTTTGTAGTCCCTAAACTCGAGAAGCAGCAGTGCCATTAGCGTTTACATTAACCTCAAACGGGGGAAGGATATCTTTTTGAACTTATTTTTTCCTCACATCCTACAAATACTTACATTCACACTTGGAGTGCAACCACAGCGAATGATCAGCTCTGCCGGAGCATCTGGAGGTTGTTACAGGAAGTCATTTCCACTCTCTGCTCAGATTTTCAGAGCAAATGTAGCTCCTCAAACAATTGACCTTCATGTAACAAAACCGTGTCTTTAACTTTTGCCACCCCCTTTTAGTCCATCTATCAATCCTTTTAACCATGACCTCCCTTTTTGGAGGGCAACTTTATTTTCACAGTTGTCTGAGATATCACTCATCACCCTTGCCTCTTGGTAGGCCAAACATGAAGAGTGGAACAGCAAAAAAATAAATAGAATCCATCTACAATGTGTTGACAAAAACATACAGTAAACACCCACTGAAATATAAAATATGACAACAAAATTTCAGAATATAATAATGAGTACTAGGGCTGCAACTACTCATTATTTCCATTTTAATCTGCCAATTATTTTCTCAATTAGTTGATTAGTTGATTCCTGGAACCCAAGATCGTGTCATCATGTCTTCTTTTGTCCAACCAACAGTCCAAAAGCCAAAGATATTCAATTACAACAATGTAAATTTTGTATGAAAAGAGTCATATTGTTACATTTGAGAAGCTGAAACTATTAACTTTTTGGCATCTTGCTTAAAAATTTAATTTTCATAATAATTTCAAATACATGCTAATTAATCTTCTGTCAATCAACTAATTGGTTAATCAGCTAATTGTTGCAGCTCTAATGAATGCACAAGACAGTATTGTACATTCATCAGTGTGGGCCTGGGAATTAAATGAGTAAGTATGCGTTCATTCTCTTTCAGTGTTAGCGAACTCACCGGACATTGCCATTGTAGATGTTGAAGGTTAGGCAGACGATGCCGAGCAGGATGCCGAGGCCAGCGAAGACGGACACAGCAGCAAACAGCTTTCGAGACAAGAACCTGTACTCTTCAATCACAACTGTCCGATCAGCCGGAGGTTCAGCACCTAAACGGACACAGTCAGAGAAAGAATTGTTAAAAGAGAAAACGCTTCTGGTGCCATCGTCTCTACTTTTACTCATTTGGCAGACGCTTTTATCCAAAGTGAATTACATTTAAGGAACAAAATGCAAGCATCAATAAAGCATCAACACAATAAGAGATCTACAAGTGACAAGTGAGGGCTGAATTGTGATAATGGATACAATGGTATGCTAGCATACACTGGCCAAAACTACAATAAGGTTATGAGATTAATGCTGGTGATTTTTTGTTATTGTAAACAACTCCCATGAAAAGACCAAAAACAAAAATGTCTTAACTGGCCTCTCAATACTTTCCAGCTTCCCCAGCCAAAAAGTCTGTTAAAGACATTATTTCCTAAAACAGCTGGTCACTGTACTTTTTTGCAAACTTTACTTAAACATGAGAGAGTACTGCTTTGCTGATTTGTTGCTATTTTCTGCAGCAGATTAATACACATTGGTGTTTCCAGCAGCAGGATGGGATTGACTCAAAACAAAGAACATTGCGTGTGTTCGTGGTAATGAAGGAACAAGTCACCCGATGCAACAATGTGGCTCTCTGATGTGTTTGTAGCATTCTTTGGTCAACAAAGGAACTCTACGGAAAAGGGGAGTAACATGTATCAGGCTGTGGCAACATAGACAGTACTTCTTAGTCAGAACATATTTCATGTTTTGGTGGAATTTGTTGACAAAAAGAATGTATATATATTATGTACAGTATACAGTATGTATATAGTATGTAATAAAAGGTGGGTTATCTATCATTAGAGTTAACTTAATTAATCAAGATTAAATTAGATTGGAATGGGAAGTGTTCTGTCTTCTAGAAGCTGCAATGATTAGTCAATTAATCAATCGACTGAAAGTAAATGTATCTGTTACTATATTTTTGATAATCCACTAATCGGTTCAGTCATTTTTCAAGCAAAAATGTATGATTTTATCAACTAAACGTTTAATAAATTGATCAAGAAAATAATGTGGACATTGATAACAAAAATAATCCCTAGTTGCAGCCCTACTTTGAACAAGACTGGTATGAGGCAAATCAGTACTAGCCAAGAGAGTAACCACGTTTTGCAGCTGAATATACAGAATTTTTTATTTAACTAGGAAAGTGTCGCTTAGAGGCAGTCCATCTTTTTCAGCAACGCCTTGTTCACACTCACACAATCCTATCTGTCGGACACTAAGCAGTGCCACTGGAGCAGTTAGGGAGTATGAGGCAGGGGCGAGTGCTGCTGTTTCACTTTACCCACCCATGTTCATCTTGCTGGTCCACGGATCACACCAGCAACCTTCCGCCTTCTGACTAACATTACTGAATGAATCTCTCTCTATATGACTGCTCAGGAGTAAAAAATGTTAAATATAAGGAATTAGCATCTAATTATGAGATTACCAATTACTGCAATTAAGTAGAAACTGCATGACTCCACATAACTTTTCATAATGATTCAGGCATTGAGCCCTTTGAGGCTTCAGCAGACGCTCATCTGATCTGATGCACATTTGTCTGATTCATAAGAGACTGATGCATGCAATATCTGGTTATCACAGTTCACAGAGACTCAAGCCTGCAACTGTAGCACAATATACACAATGCTTAAGCACAGAATTACACAGATTTACATTAGATAATGTCAGTTCCACATAAAGTCATAAGCTGCATTCGTGTTCTCTCTCCTCTCTCACTTGCTACTTTTTCAAACAAGTCAGGGAGTTGGTTAAATGTTGTTTTAATATTAATATCATTAAATGAAATTGCTGTCAAAAAATGCCTGTTCAGTGTGTCATGCATTTAACCCAGGTCAGTAGGAGGGTCGTGAATCTAGGCTGAAAGGGATTCATGATACAAACATAACACAATTTACATGAACCTGTGCAAACTGCTCTGTACACATTGAACAACACTTTGAACAAGCCTGTATGCTTGTTCAGAAGTGACTGCCATCTCTGTAACTTTTACCAAAACCATCTGCGGAGGTGAGAAAGGAGCCAGTGTTTGAACTTCTCTAGCTAGCTGCAACCAAACGCAACACCAAGACTGTCTTTCAGTAGAGGCTGTCTGAAAATGTGCTCTTTTATCCCCATATTTAAACAATATTACACACCCTCCCCTGTCTCTATGACAGCCAGCTTTTCACCACCTATAAACTATAACTATAAACACTTTTGATTTCAGACAGCACATAACACATCATTGCAACTATTTCTGTTCCAGCATAACCCGAATTTTATTAGCGTATGAACTCCATGACCGTCATAAAAAATTGATAATCTGTTGACAATGATTTATACTTACATTTAAATTTCAGTAGTTATCATATACTATAATGTAATGTAGTACTTTAAGCAATTAGACAATTTTGGTGTTAAGAGTTGAAGCTTTAAGGTTTTAGGAAGTGTATGTTTATACACTAACCCAATTATTCATGCTATTGTAGCTTTAAACAAGGAGAATTCCTCAGTGAGGAGGGTTCAAAGAGCAGCAGATGGGCAGGGAGACTCTTTTTCTCCCTAAACAGCTTCTGACTATCTGTCTCTGTGAATCTGGTAATGCTTGTAGGTTTGTGTGTCCGTGTGTGCGTGCACTCCCAACTATGCATATGCCATAAGGACTGTATACTGTAGGCATGATATGCATGTTGACCTATACATTAAGCATGAGCGTGAATATGCTCAAGAGGGTGCATATGGAGGCAGGTGAGCATTTAAATACAGTGTGTGTCTGTGTGTGTGTGTGTGTGTTTGTGAGAAATAGAGGGAGACAGAGTGTGTGCATGTCAGAGGGGAAGCAGAGCAGGAGTGTCAGCACTGCATGAAGCTGATGTGTCAGATGTCAGAGGAAAGTGTCAGAGTGCCGCCCCCTCGAGGGTCGCAGGGTGTCAAGGCGCCAATCTTGGGATGTTTGGATGCTTGTCACTGCAGTCACACAACCGATACTGTGTATCTGGTAACATCTGACTGAGGAATGATAATATAAGAGGGTTTCTGAGGTGTTTGCCACTGTTCATATCGGCCAAAGTATGAAAGTTTGATGGAAAAACAGTAGAGACAATATGGCCAAGAATTATTTATTTTAACAAAAACAAGAAAAAGAGAGCATACAGAGAGCCAAAGTGAAAATGGAGTTTACATGTTGACAGCCTTTCTCAACAGTATGTTGTGTGAGCCCCTTCATATGTTTAAGTAAGGGCGGCCGTTTTTTGAAAATCTAAAATTGTTTTTTCAATATTTGAGCCCAACTGTTGTCAGTACAGTTGCATTGTGGGTGACGTAGGCATGAGGTTTTGATAATAAAGTAATAAAAAAAAATATTATGTGCAATCCTAAATCACTAAAGTACTCTTTCAAGAAATGTCTTACATTTAAAATATTTTCTGTATCATTGCTTTTTGACTTAAAATGGGTAAGTTTTAGTTGCATCTTGCGGTAAAGTTTGCGAATTGCAAAAAACGGTTCACTGTGCATTCACTTGCTCCTTTGAAGAAATAATTACTTTATAATAAATGTATTAATTCTAATGGCAGTTGTAAAAAAACTAACTTTTTACCTTTTCTCCATGAGGTTGTACATTATATTAATTTATTGATCAATTATCAAAATAATTTTTCTAAATCCAACAGGCTGTGAAAACAGCTTTAATATCTTTATATAATAAATACTATTCCTGGCAAAGATTTTATTGTTTGTGTCTTCATATATATTTGTATACTGTTCTGTATACTTCTTTATGTCCCATGTACAGTTTATGCCTCTTTTTGCAATAAAGATAAGATTTAAAGAGGAGGAAAAAAAATCAAATTTTTCCGATACCACATGAATGCAATCATTCAGTGCCCGCCTTTCCCCTCCCTTTCCAAGCACGGAGAAGTTACGGTGTCCGACACGCTCTGTTGGCTCTTGTGCTAAATAATACGTGTGGTCCTGAATTTTAATTAACCAGATGACTACTACTGCTTCTACTATTTCTTCCTTCTTCTTAGTACGTATTCAACATAGTGACAACGTGTTCTGTAGAGCCGTTTGTCCTTTAGGGCTACTGTAGAAACATGACGGCACAACATGGCGACGTCCATGTAAGAGGATCCGTCGTGTATATAGATTCAAATGGCTCATTCTAAGGTAATAAAAACATAACGGGTAATTATGTAAGGTCTTTATGCACCACTGAAAACATAAATATATATATATATATTATTATAGTGCATTTATGTCAATAGATGCTCAGAAATATTACAGACTGAACCTTTAAAGATCTATTTTTATTTGATTTAATCTTCCATCTACCGCTTACCCGTGTACAGGGTCGCGGGGGGGCTGAAACCAATCCCAGCTGACATCAGGCGAAAGGCGGGTACACCCTGGACAGGTTGCCAGCCCATCGCATATACAAACAACCACTCACACTTAAGGTAAATTGTGAGGTGCCTGCATGTCTTTGGCAGTGGGAGAAATGTCTGGGACGACCAAGGTTCGAACCCACGACCTTCTTGCAGTGCTAACCACTGACCACCATGCCGCCCTTGATTTAATCTCATTTAAAAATGTCTTATTATTGTTCCATCCTGTTTTGTTGTATTTCAATGTTATATACAATGTGATGTAAAGCACAAGTTTATAAATGCATAAAAAAGGTTATTAAAGATAGTATATATGAATGAATGAATGGACAATATAGAACAGTGTGTGCGTGTATGTGTTTGTGTGTGTTTGTGTGTGTTTGTGTGTGTGTGTGTGTGTGTACATATGCGTGTGCATGTCCATTCAGTCAATGCTTTTGAACCATTTATACCCTCCTCCGTCCTTGATCAGGGAATCGGGACAGGGTGTTGCCATGGAGACCCATCTCTATAACAGTTGCCACAGCGATTAGAAGAAGAGCTAAGCTGAAGTGGTTGTTAGGGCAACCGTGAAGAGAGTGAGAAAGTGAGGCAGGAAGGCGCATGGTAAACACACAGGAAAACAAGCGGAGAGGTTAAGTTGACAACCCCATGTATACTCCACCCAGTGAGGAGCAAATTAAGCGCACCACCCCTGTCAAAAGAAAC